CTGACCGATAAACTAATCACCCTGTCACAATTATTCATTGCCTTCTTTGCGTAAACGCCCTCCCTTAATTAGATAACGAGTTTGTAAAACACAAACAAACAAACAAGAAAAGCCACATATGTTTTCTCTGGTAATAACCGCAGTGCATCCACTCTAGCACTACCCTTACTTTTTGTCGAAAGAAAACATTAAATGCATTCAATTTGATCTCAAATCTGTGACAGAAAGTTGTCCATCTCGTACGGGATGGATCCATTAAATTTGTGAGGGGGTTCACTTTTTTTTTGAGAAAAGGAATACTCCACAGGGTAAAAAGCAATGTCGAGCTATTAACATTAAGAAAAAAAAGCAAGGGAAAAGAAAAGATATAATTTTAATAAATATGGCATGAGAAGAAGTATACATCAACAGGAACATACTCAGTATATAACACTACAAAGAAAAGCAAAACAAAAAACAAAAAAAAAAACACATGTATTGAGAAAACATGTAGAGTTTATCCCAGCTTCAGTTTCATGAAGCAACCATCAGATGGTCTGATGAAAATAATTGTAGCTGCATATATGTATGCATTTATTGCACCCGAGCAGAAACGTAGAATTTCCTTGACTTTATTTCAACATTTTTCCAAGACCTTGAGAGAAAACGTCTTCAGTTACTTTTCCTAAAAATACAGAAGAACCCTACGGCGTTGGTTTTGTAATGAAGTTCTTATATGCACTTATGCATCATTGTGAAACAGGGTTCATACCCTTTTTCAGAAACAAAACTCCAGGCCTTTTCCAGAACTCTAAAATTCACATTAACCCTAGGCTAGATTTCTGCCGCTCTCTCATGTCTGGTCTAGGGAGGAGCGCGGGCTCCTTTCCCGAACAGTGACTGGTAATCGAGCCTACATCAAACCTTTCATTCCCAAAATCTCAGTGTTAATCCTCCTTACTGTCTGCCATACATTTCATTTTATTACATGTACTTGAGTTTAACAGATTTCCAAAACTTTCCAGGACTTTGCAGTCTTGGAAAATGCCTCAATAAAATTCCAGGACTTTCCAGGCTTTCCAGGACCCGTACGAACCCTGTAAAAGCATAAACATTTATATTTTACCACTCATAAAACCGTCAGCTTTTTTAGTCTCTTCAATGACCTCTCAGCAACTTCAACACACAACTCACAGTTAAGAGTCATCTGCCATTTCTGGAGTGTACTCAAAACCTTTGACAAATGGTACTCCTACAGTTGTAACGTTTTTCTGATATGCCAGGTAGTCATCACCAAAGAAACAGATTAGTGTGATTTCCTCATCATGGATGCGGTCACTGAAAAACTTCCATGAAGCCCACACATATGCCATAAGGCAAACTGGGTTAGCTAGTGTGATTTGAGTTCCTAGAAAAAGAAAACAAAAGGTTCTTTTAGCTGTATTAATGACAGCATTGTAAAGTACACTGTAACATAGGCCTGTAGTGTATACAAAGAGCAGTGCGTAGCTATAACTCTTAGGGGTAGTGCATGGTCCTCCAAGAACTGTAAATTTTCATCAAATTGAATGAATCCCACAGTCTTGCTTTTTAAGCAGTTACATGCCTCTTGCAGTGTCGCTTTTTTTTTCACCAAGCTGTTTCAGAGTCTCTCTTTTTTGCAAAGCTAAGAAAGTCATGGGGTACTGAATTGATTTGTTGCTATTTATAAATGACATCTGAACGTCTTAGAGTCTGAACGACTCGTGCCTAAAACACTTACAAGTCTTGGTCTCACAATTTAAAAAGTCAAAATGCCTCAAGCTTACAAAGAAAAATTTTAGTCTCGCCTTCTCACAGATTCTGGCATTTACCATTCACAATCCATACTCTTTGCTTGTATTACATGTCTATGGTGCCATTGACCACTGTAAAATTTGGGAAATAAGTCCTGCGTTTTCATTCTCAAGGCACTTTTTTTATGGGTTTATTTTCAGGGAGCCTTATTTCTCGGGAGAGGGGCTTATCACCAATACTGATTTTGCATTTCAAAAATATTTGTATACAGGAATTCTATGCCCATAGAAGAATGCTGCATAGTGGATGATCAATCACTCCAATGGAAATACAGAGCAAGTTCTAATCACTACATGAACATCTTCAGTGGTGTCTGACCATGACGTAACAACATAGAAATTATACAAATTACAAAACAAAACAAAATTAAAACTAGATCATGATAATGCGTCTTTCTTCAAGAGGTATTGTTACCGGCAATATATGTCCATGGGCTACAAAATGAAAGGACTCTTGCATCTGTGAGTGTTTTTGGGACCTTATATGTTTTTTGGTAGAGTGATATCTGGGGCAGAAGGGGAGGGGGGAGGGGAGGGGAGGACATTATCACAATTCCTATGTACAGTGACATAGCCTAATCAATGCAAACACTGGGTGAAAGTAAACATTTGTGAGGAAAAATTAAGCCACGAGGCAATAAGGGCCCAATGAAACTTGAGTAGTTGTATTTGCATTAATTTTACATCAGGTAAGAGCAGCATTTTGTATTCTTTTTCTACAATCAAGATAAGAAATGCTGCTCCTTGCTTTCTTACCTATACTCCACCAAAACCAGCCTGCATATCCCGGATGTCGACAGAGACTGTAAATTCCATGAGTCACTAAAACATGACCTCTCTCCTTTCTGGTCTGGATAAGATGTGTGAAGTTAGATTCTGCTGTTATCATAGCGACTTTTCGTAGAATTTCCCCTCCAACCATCAAGAGCAAACCCAGAAAACTTAAGAGTAACAAATTCTTCATCTGAGGGAAAAGCCACCACTCTAGGACAAACTCAACCCAACTAGCAACTGCGGCAATTTGATACTCTGGACTGTGATTGAGTAGAAATGAATCCGTAGATAACTTGTCCGGACAATATTTTGCAACCATGACATACTCAGAGAAGTGAAAGAACGAGAGTGACACCAAGTACCAGCCAAAATACCTCCATTTTGTTTCACCAAAGCTTAGAAGAAGGGCAATTCCAAAAACGCTACCTAATGGCAACAAAGAAAATATATAATTATATGGGTTATTGACCAAGCATGAGTTCGAGATGGCTGGATATTGGCCAAGTTCTTTTTGTGTGTGTTAATTTCCTGTTATCTAGTGTCCAAAAATGCTACCTGATGACAACAAAGAAAATATATAATATTATGTGGGTTATTGACCAAGCATGAGTTCGAGATGGCTGGATATTGGCCAAGTTCTTTTTGTGTGTGTTTATGATCTGAGACAGAGTCCAGGTCCATAAAGAATGAGGCCAATATCCAGCCATCTTGACTGACCAGCTTGGTCAATAAAGGATTTATTGTATGGCTTTCAGAAAAATGTTTTATGCAGGACACTGCAAGTAATCCAGAGCGGGCAAGATAGTACCATTTATTGCCCGCTTGGGAAGCCAATTACAGTGCAGGATTTGGTACATTTTGCCAACTCACGAAGCTAGCCATATATTACAGCATTTATACTACAACTCAAGTGATACTGAACCTACCATACTGCCTATCTAGATCTAGCTTGTGTGATCAGAAGTTGGTCTTTTAATCACTCAATTCACTTTTATCACTCAGATGTCAAAGTGACATCTAAGATCTATGAGAATCAATCTGCCAAATTCAAAACTGATGACAAAGCTTAGATTCAAACAAAGATACATGTAACTTAATTGTTTGAATCTAAGCGTGAACATGTCACAAAAAGATCATTAAATTTCCTGTTATCAAGTGTCGACATTCAATAAATATGTAGTACAGTGTAAATTTCAAACAAGAGTTTACTTTCTCTAAGGAACTCCTGTTTTGAAGTTTCATCCACATAGCTGTACTTGTCAAAAACATTTTCAGACTCCTCAAACCCCGGCCAAACGATTGCAACATTTCAATGCAGCGTATTGCAACACTGTTGAGCAAAACATGTTGTGCACGTTTGGCCACCCTGTTGCGACGTGTTGTAGCATGTTGGGTGTTGTCAGCTCAAGTTTGAAAATGGTCAAATTTGAGCCAACAACACCCAACATGCGTGTCGAAACTGGGCGGCCAATGCAAGTTTTACGTGCCCAACATCTTGCGCCAACAATGTTGTATTGAAATATTGTGATCGTTTGGCCGCAGCTTTAAAAGCGATGTCAACTGTGTTGTAGTTTGGGTGCAGAAATTTGCATCACCGTCTGTCAAACTTTAAATGATATATTGAGAACAAACCCTGCGACGTTTTCATACCGAATTAGGTCATGTCATATTTTTTGTGACATGTTCACATTTACTTGCAACTGGATTTATTGGCTGTTACATATGTCTCAATGTCTCACAAGGGATAAGTTGACTGTTCTTGTGGAATGACATCTGTCTGTCTCTTTACCCAAATACAAGCTGCCTGTAAATGATCTAGCTCGCCGAGGAAAATCAGAAATTTACATTGACAGAAAATCTACAAGCAGGGCTAACAATCCGCGCAATTAACAAAGTCCTTAAGCTACGTTGACAATGCATAAGCATTTTAAAAACACAACAGATTTCCAAACTTCGAGACAACAAGTAAACTTTACCTAACATGGAGGCTCGCCTGGCAACCGAAGAATATGGGACAAAAAGAGTCACAAATAAACTCAAACCAAGAATCACGCTTCCTGTGGCAATGCGCCATGTTTCCGTGACACTTTTACCTTGAAATATTGCTAAAACTAAGAGGATATAAGCAATGAAATACGAAATCGCTACTTTCCCCTCTAAAATCATCCTTAATTTCGCCGACATTTTTTGTCCCATAGGGGAGGGAGGAGGGGGAAGAGTATTCTTCATTGCGAGCTGCCGCTGGACAAATCTCCTATTCTCGTTTCAAAGTGTTGTTAGACGTTGTTCAGACCTAGAATGTAGCCAATATCTCGCTGTTCCAATTTTAAAATAACAATTTTATTTCACTGGAATGCTGAAAAGCAATTCATTGTATCACAGAGTACTATACCTGTTTCCTAGCGTCGTTTGAATCCGTCACGCTCCGCCGGAGGACAGGGCTCTTAGTTTCCAGGAGTTCGCATTTACTTTATCAGAGAGAAACTGGCCACTAGTGACTCAAACAGGATGGAAAAAGATGGCGGTGACGACGACGGAAATCGCACAGAACCTGAAAACCCAAGGACACCTGATTCCAGTCGCGAAGGAACACCAGATTGGAAAGAAACGTGCATTGGTGTTTGGTCGAGAAGTACGAAGGGCCGTCAAGTTACAGAGGCTGAACCAGACAAGATCTGTAATGGTATAAGTTTTGTCGTAATCAACAAAGTAAGTGACTAAAAGTGAAGTCAGAAAGTTGTTTTCAAATCTCTGAGTGGTTCCTGTGATGGTGCAAGTAATCAAACTAGTTGATCTAACACACTAACAGAGCTTTATCTTCCTAACATTCAAGCATACAGACCTTCGAAAAGTGAAGCTCAGTAAGACAAGAGGACTTCAGATTGTAGTTCGTGAAACAGGTAGGACTTGGACTTAGCTTATAATATATAGATTTAGGCCAGCCTAAAAGCGTAGCTCCTGGGCCGCGTTGTTCAGAGTCAAATAACCCTGGAGAAGGTAGAATTTTGATTTCAGTTTTGTAGCTTTGCGGCGCGGTTTTNCAGTAGTTTCAGATTTGTATGATCATGAATGACACAACTTTAAGAGAATGCAAATCAAACCACTTTGAAACATTTCAAAATGAAATTGAAACAAATTTCAACTACAGTGCGTCATATAATAACCTAAAATCCGAAATCTTGCAGATTACCTACTTGACCCTCCCTCCCCCAGAAAAAGCTGTTAAAAGAAGAGCTCTACTGATTCAACCACAAAAATGCATCAAACATACAAAAATTTCCCTTTGAAACACAAAACAAAAAAATCGACCAAAAGAAGAATGAAAAATGTACTCAAAAGCAGTTTCCTTTAAATTTGGGACATTATTTTGGTTATCTATATGGGAAATGAGAGATTCGGTCTGTATCCCAGAGACTAGCCTGCAAAAACAGATGGATTTCCGGCTTTTGTTTCATGCCGCAGCATGAAACAAAGCCAGGTTGAAAATTCATCTGTGTTTGCAGGCTACCCAGAGACTACAGCTGGCAAAGATGGTTAATGTTAGTCATAGAGTTATGGGGCTTTTGGATGCAAAATTAATCACAGATCCATTCACACCGGCCCCAGTTACCATCTCCTTTTCATGCTTGTAGTACCACCTGTGGAGTAAGTTTCTCCAAAGCTATTTTGTTTTCATATCAGTTGGAAAGTTGGCTTAACAGAAGGATTTTTGAGTTCAAGATTTGGCCAGAAAAGAGAGAATGTTTGTAGTCCTGTATTGTATTTTATTATACAACATATCTCTCAGTTGGTACGCGCATTGTGATTGGTCAATTTAACAGGCCATATTCTCTTGTACATGGCGCACTAAAATTTAAAGTTGTTTTTGTTGTCAAAGTGTTCGGTGATTTATCGCCAAGTGTTCTTAACTTTTATAGCAAGTAAAAGTTTAAAACTTCCTCGTTCTCTAAATTCTGTATTAACGTGGCTAACAACTTAAAAACAATTTCAAATTGACTCGTTTTGCTTTTGAGGTGTGTCAGAAATTTGAAGCCATTCCGTGTGAATAGAAATCGTTCCCGAACCCGTCAGGCACATAGAGATTTAATAAATGTCTTACTAACCTCGTCCTCTCGGTCTGTACTGTAAGTTACGAATCCTCATTTTCCCCCCTTGGATTTATGGCCCACGCCCTTCGTGCTTGGGCCATAAATCGATGGGGAAAAAACTCGGTCCGTGACTTACAGTACAGACCTCGAACTCAGTTAGTAAGAGGTATATCTGTGAGCAGTGATGTTCGTTTGAAGGAATGGCATGCATCAAACAAATTTGTGTCATGGCTGTTTGTAAATTTCCATTTCAGAGATTACAGTACCTCCTCCAAAAGCTCATGATCACACACACATCAGAATTGAAAGGGACGAAGATGACAAGTAAGGATCAGGCTTTGTAGTAATAATTTTGGAGATGTGTTGAATTCAAACACAAAGAAGCTATAGTAACAATTCATCACCTTAACTAATGTGGCTCACTACAGTTTTGATGGAGTAAAAGAGACTGATGTTAAATGATGACTCTTTTGTAAACTGTTCCAAGATATTTTTTCTTTCTCTAGTTACTGTTTGCTTTTTATCATTATATGCGACACTTGAGCAAAACAAACCTTGATAAATCGAACTAAAATGAATGAACACATACATAAGAGAACACTGTGCACTAGAATTTTTAATAACATCTTCTCATAATCTACACAGCCTAACCCAAACTTTCAGGAATTAGAAATGGAGGCTGTCTTATTAAACATTCCTCATGCATACTAAAATAAAAGAATCTGCAAAACAGATCATCCACAAATAATTTTGTCTGTTTTAAACAGAGCTTTAGCAGAATCCGTCTTGTGCATTCTTATTTTATTCATTGTAATGTGAATCTAAAATAACTGCAGCTAATTACATTGTTTCAAAACAGTTAATGACTCAGACAGAATATATCAAGGTACCATTCATGATATTAATTGTTTTTTGCTCTTTATATTGGAGTGATTGGAATCTTGAACTAGTCTTGTAGTAATGGCATACTTCCAAAACTGAGTTTTAATTGATCTGATTTGTCAGACTCCAAAAGAATGATGAGGACAGTGGAAATTCTGCAGAAGAACAAGAGCCTTCTTTGACTAGAAGAGTGATGGACGTTATGATGATGAAGAAAACAAACTTGGAGAAAAATGTCGAACATTACAAAGCCGAGGGAGTCAAGCTTACAGGTATATGTATGAAACAACAATGTAGTCAGTTCAGGGAATTTGAGGGAGTGTAAGAATCTACACGGAGATTGATTCTTTGACCATTTCAATGTCTGAGCTTCTTTGAAGCTACATTGTTTTTGATCAGCACCAAGAATTCCAACTTCTTGGCAGCCTCAAATTTTCCCGAGATCTGATCGGCTGGTTTTAATCATCACGGCAATGATCTTTCATGTAGCAAATATTTTTCTTCTACTTCAAATACATGCGTTTGCTAAT